CTCCTCGTCTTCGACTACGTAGGTGTCTTTCTTATGATAATGATTTATGAAGGGTGTGTAAGTATGTTTCGTACTACCAAAACCTATGGTGTCCCGTGCATCAATTTCAGGATTGTAAGCCAATCCACATGGTCTTAATCCGACAATAGCAGCCACGTCGAAGAGCGTGGGAGTCACCATTCCGCAAGGAAGATGGAAGGTGTGGTGAGTGCTGTCCCAGAAATACAAAGAGGAGGCCAGCATTAACGGACAGTAAGGTGGCCCAACCTTCGACAGCATGATTAGGTCATAAATACTTATTTCTTTCCAATGTTGTGCCTTTGCTTTCTCTATTTTTGCCAACCAGTTAAGGTAAAGTTCAGAATCTTTAAAGTACGGCGTAGCTCTAAAGAGTCTTGCTCCATCATGCAAATATTTGAGGTCCACATTGAAGAGAAAAAGGTCATCTGGGTTATCAAAAGGGATTTTGCTAGCATCTTTTTGCCCTAAGGGTTTGGTTTTCCGATAAGAAGGGAAAAAGTCACTCAAGGTGGAATAATCAAGGTCTGGGGGTGACAATGGGCCAGACATGGCTAAGGTTTTTCCAGCCACATCAACGGAGATGATTACCTGAGATTCGTAGATGTGTCGTTTTTCTTCTGCTAACGGCTCCCTGATGAGCTGTTGGTTCTTCGTGATTTTTGGTCCGCTCAAGGTAGCGAAAGGTGGCAATGCAGACGAAGAAGATGGTCTCCTAGTTTGAGTTTTCTTCTGTTGTTCAGCCATGATTGAAGGTTTTCAGAGAAAAAGGAGATTTTTTCTTGTGTTGGAAAAAACAGGTTTCTTCAGCAAAGAGGAGAAGAGTAAAGGTTGGTAAAGAGTAGAAAGTCTTTATGAAAAAACTATTGGTGATTTTATAAGGATTCAGAAAATTAAGAATTCTTACGTGGTTGAAATTAGTGGGCCACGTGTACGACCTAGTGGAAGAAGTAAGGGGCGGTTGTAACCTATACCCCTAGGCGCTAAAAGGGTGATGATGTTTTTTGAATTTTTGTGAGTTCCAAGAAACCTGCCATGATGATGATGACGTCAGAAGCGTGCAAAGTGGCGTGGTTTTTAATATAAACATTTCTCTTTCTTCTGTTTTATCTTCCAAAGGATAAGAGGCAAACCAAAGGGTATGATAGTATCGAAAAGATGGTGTCGAATGGGATACTATCAAAGAATGTCCTTTTCCTACAATAAGGTCGAAAAGAACATTCTTTGGGGGCAATTTGTTAGCTCCCAAATTCGACATTGCCTTGGGTTGCTAAACATTAAGACATAATTAATGTCTAAGTAAAATGAAGCAAAGAGGTTTCGATATCCTCTAAGGAATCTTCTAAGCTAAACGGTTGAAATAACTTAGAAAAATTAAGAAACCTAAAGTTATGAGCATTTCGACCGTGTCAGAGGTCGTTCGACCGAAATTCTGCAGGAGGATTGCTACTTCGTTTTGAAATTCAAAATTTGGAGGGAGCGGTTCTGTTCATAAGACACGTGGCGAGTTCTAGAGCAGGAAGTTACATGCAATTGACACTTGTTAGATCGAGAAGATACTAGGAAGTTATTAGCAGTTAATTATTAGCGTTATAAATAGGGATTTGTTAGACAGATTTCTGTGTGTTTTACCATTTGTACAAAGTAACTCCAATCAAATTTACTCAAAGTACCCGAGTGTGAGAAAAGAGTATTTTCACGGAGAATGTACGTTATGTAAAATCACCAACTTTTCAATAAAGTCTTTTACAATTTCAGCAACATTTACATTTCCTCTGTCGAACCACTTGTGCAAGTGTTACCTTTTTTTGCCTTTACCTTTCCTGCATCCTTTACTCCAATTCCTCTTTTCCTTTAAACGTTTTACCTTCTTCGATCAGCCTTTTACAAATCTTTTACAGCGTTTCTTTAAGTTTATGCACTTTAAAATACCCATTCGAAGTCTTTTTCATTACAAGAACATTTACCAATTCGTTATTACAAGTACTTTAAATTTAATTCTAAACGAAGAATACTTTAGCACATGTCCTAGGATCAATCTGATCGATCCTGTGAGTCACCAAAGTCAAATTTGGAAGATCAGCGGTTGTTTTCCGATTTTCAAGGGAAACAGTCGGACCAATTGATAGAACAGAGGTATGATATAATATGATAAAGAAAAGTATTTTATTAATTAATGTGAAAGTAAAATAAATTTCAGAGCTACTGCTCCTCAGTTAGAGAAACAATTCTCTCACTGCCCAAACCCTAATATCAAAAACAGAAAATCAATCAATGCCTAACTACTGCCCCATACACTCCTCTTTATATGGAGAGCAATCCCTAAACTAACTCCTATTTATATGGAGAATAATACCTAAACTAACTCCTATTTATTTGTGGAGTTTCCTATTCTTTCTCACATATCCCCTCCATTGTTTAGGTCCAATAATATCTCTATTAACTAACATATTCCCATCATCATTTGTGGGATCTGATTCATTCCTATAAGAGTTTCTCAAGTTATATATAAGTTTCTGCCAACAATGTCTTATAGCTATTGAACTTTACAATTACATGACCACTACTGGACTTGACCTGGAACCCACAAAGGTCCATGGAACTAATGTATAAACTAGCCCAATGCACCTGATTCATTATTCCAGGGTAAGCATTAACAAATCACGTGAATAGACCTAGTTGAAGGCAACAGTTGGCAATTTATAATTGCCTCTGCAAATCAAGGGATCTGTTGAAACTCTTAAACGGCATATCATGCTAAATTGACCTGGAGTTTCCTATTCTTTCTCACATATCCCCTCCATTGTTTAGGTCCAATAATATCTCTATTAACTAACACATTTCCATCATCATTTGTGGGATCCGATTCATTCCTATCAGAGTTTCTCAAGTTATATATAAGTTTCTGCCAACAATGTCTTATAGCTATTGAACTTTACAATTACATGACCACTACTGGACTTGACCTGGAACCCACAAAGGTCCATGGAACTAATGTATAAACTAGCCCAATGCACCTGATTCATGATTCCAGAGCAAGCATTAACAAATCACGTGAATAGACCTAGTTGAAGGTAACAGTTGGCAATTTATAACTGCCTCTGCAAATCAAGGGATTCTGTTGAAACTCTTAAACGGCATATCATGCTAAATTGCACCTGAGGAATGCCTTAGGGCCAGTCCTGCAACCGCTACCACCTTTGGTGGTGATTAATGAGGATAATGATCAGATTCTCAAAAAATAATTGGATTTTATCATTGAGTAAAGAGCATTGTTGTAGGGTGATAGGACCCTGGAGCCAAATTAAGAGATGGATCCAAAATGTGACCAAGTGCTGGACCTGAACTCAAAGATGCCCGCCATTTGGAAGGTTTCCTCCAGAGGAAAGAAACAACTTGGAAGGTTTACTCCAACAAAGGAATTAAACAACACAACCATAATACCAACAAAAACATTACCAAGAGCGACTGAGGATGCAAGGATACTTATAGAAAATAATGGGCATCAGGGTCTAACAAAATAAGCAGTCTCCCTTATACACATAGAAAGGCAAAAGAAAAGTGTTAAAGCAGTACAATTTTAAATATGAGCATTTTCCGATGCACCCTGCTGAGGATCTTCGCGGGCACCCTGCATATGTTCCTCGCCAATTTGGAGGAAGTCGGGGATGACTATTTTTCCGCCCGCAACGCATGGAGAAACCCGGTACCCTCAGTGAACAACTCAACCCCAGGATTCACGATCTTCAATTGCTCCACAGCATTGTTGAAGGCCTCCTCGGCAATGGCCAGGCAGTCATCCTAGGCCTGGGTAATGCAAGCGACCAGCTCTGTCCAAGTCGTCAACTTCTTCATATCCTCGTTCTCACACTCAGTAGGGACAGCGGCGGCTTTCAGCTGCTCGACCAAATCCTCAGCAGCTTTCTTTTCAGCAGCAAAGATATCTTTCTCCGCGGACAGCACTTTCCGGCACTTTTTCACTGCCTCCTCAACGGCCTTGGCCCGCTCCTCCTGGGACTTTTAGCTTATAAAAATATTAATTTCAATAATTTTTTAAACAATTTTATTATTACAATATTGATTTGTTTGTTATATATACTCTGTTAAAATTAAGCCTCCACCAGGGAAGGTTGGTCAGTTGACCTCCAGGGTCAACGGCCCCTCCTCAGCAGTTCCTACCCGTCACGCACGGTTCCACCATCCAGAGACAGTCACGACGCCTGTACCAGTTACTGCACCTCTGCCTGTGACAACGGCTAGTTTTGGGCACCACTGCCCGTCCCAACGGTTAGTTTCTGGCAGTTATCTATTCTTTGGGAAGCGAATATCTCACCCCGAAAATAAAAATCAATGGCAAAGTGCTGGGGGCCCTATAAAAACCCTCTCATTTGAGAGGGTAGGGTATTTAATAATCACCCTAAGACACACATACTCTGGACTTGCCTTCTTTTCTCCCGATTCTTACTTTAGCATCGGAATGTCTTGTAGGTACACCCTACTCGTCATCTTTCACACCTAGAATCGCAGACGTTGTCTCTGTCCCACTTAAGGTTCTGATCAGCCGGTAAGATCAAGTTGAACCATCTCTCTCTCAACATGAATAAGGTAGTCAAAGTTATAGCCAAATGATCACCACTGGATTCTCTGTTCTAGTCAGAGGTAAGAGAGGGGTGCCATTTGCCTCGATTGTGACCGTGGGGGCGCCATTCCGTTCCCTAACTTTCACAAAATTGTTCTTATAATTTTTACAATGGTTAGAATAGGACTTGAACAATAGTCTTTCGGATGGAAGGCACTCAAAGTCACCTAAAGTGTGTCTTGTCCGAAAGTGCAAGATAGACATCTTAAACTATAAAACATAGTATAGCAAAAAAATAACTATTGATGGCTACAATATAAGTAGTCAATCATTGCATTTTATTAAAATACATTTAAACCTCCAAAGTGTGACTCAAATTTTAAATGTTAGGTTAGGTGTGAACCTGCATCAACTTTAAGCTTAGAAAGAAGGTCTACAATATTTTTTAATTTGAGTGGAGCTTTGTCATCCTCGGTCTCAGAGTCAGAGCTCGATACAAGAGTATGCTGCAAAGACAAAGTTAAAGTAAGAATTGTTGACCAAACAAAAGATGAAAACAAATACTCACAGAAAAAGAGGTGGAATGGATGTAACAAAAAGAGAAACAAATTAAGCTATAAAATTCATGTTCCTCTAGAATCATTCACAAATCACATATACATGACTCATTATATCGGTTAGAATATCATAAAATGTCTGCATGATATCTTTTATATTAATTAAGAGTATCTTTGAATATCAGACTTTAAATTAGTTATTAATTAATATTATAATCATGATAAATAGTGTTGGTATTGAGTCTTTGGTATCAAAGTCAATATAAAACTATTATCAATAATATTTTTTTCTCATCTTTTGCCTAAAATTCCACAACTTCAGCATGGTATCATAACCTATTTCGATCCACTTTGATCGGTCTCACCACATTCTGCTGTCGAGTTCCTAGAAGATTGGGAACATAATAATATTTTTCCTTTTCTTTTTTAAACCGTCACCGGAAAAATAATCCAATGCATTTTATGTCACAGATAGTATTGAATCTCTTATTTTTTGCAATTCCAAAATTTTCAACTCTAAAAACATCATGTACTCAAAGGCGTCACCACTATTGTCGCGGTTAAACATGCGTACCGCCGTCAATAGTCGTAGGTAGAATATAAAATGTAAGTTTAGCAAAAGAAGAAGTGTTTTTAACCTAGAGATGAAAGTTGTAGACCATATCATATCACAAGTCATATAGTTTAAGTATCAGAGATTTATAATACAAAACAATATAGAAGTAGAAGATATGCACGATCAAATTCAAGTTGGATAGTTGAAATGGAGGAACACCTCAGGTGTTTTTATGTGGCACAAAAGTATCTGCGATGTAGTACAGAATAGAATGTAGGGCGGTTAAGAACTTACACGAGAATAAAATAAGTGTAGTAGAAATGAGGATGTTGTGTTAGATGTATGGTAATAATAAAGGAGATAAGATTAAAGATAAAAATATTAGAGTGTTACGGTAGCACCTATAGTAGCAAAGATGGTGGAAAATAGATTTAGGCGGGTTTGGGCATGTATACAAAAGACATGTAAATTTTGTTGTATGGAGAAAAAATAGATGGAGATGAGCCAAACAGCCCGAGGTTAGAGAAAGCGTAGAAAAACTATAAAAGAAACTATAAAAAAAATCTCGAGATTACCGAACTAGATATAAACATGGGCCTTGATAGAATTATAATGTAATTTGTTTCATGTGGTCAATCTCACTTAATGAGATAAAATCTGGTTGTTATTGTAGTTGAAGTTGTGTCACCATAATCCATTTCAATTAGAGTTTCAACTGTCAGAGTGAGCTATAACTCAACTCAATTGTTTTATTAAAGTTTTAGCATCTGGAATGCGCTCTGGTCTAACACCTTTTCTGTTTGTTAAGGTGTGACACCTTCAAGTTTGGGCTTCAGCAGCCGAAGTGAGCGTTGACCCAATGTCAGCATGGTTTGGTTTGATGTGGTGACATCTTTCAAATAAAGCTTCAGCTGCTAGAGTGAGCACTGACCTAATATTATTGCAATTTGATTTATTTTTTTTTGTTGAACATGTTTTACTTCTATTAAGTGAATAAGCTTAGTGTTTGTCTGTTTGGCATTTGTTTTTTGTCGTATTGGAGTTAATATTTCTTTGGAGCTATTGTTGTGGTGATGAAGATTGAAGGTCAGAAGATTTATCTGAATCATAGATCTTGGAATGTTTGCCTCATCTGTTACGGTTTTTTCTTTTTAAATGGTATATATATAAAGCTTAAAGATCAGTAAATTTCAGCGTTAGAATATCATAATATCTCGTAAAATATTTTTTTATATTAATTTAGAGTATATTTAAATATCAAAATTCATATTAGTTATTATTATCATGATTTGTTACTGATTTAAAATTGGGTCTATGTATCTCAATAATATTTTCTCTCAGTTTTTACCTAAAACTCCACAACTTCAACAATATCCTCACCATACTCTAACATAAATTTTTGAAAAATCAAATTTGTCTATAGCTGAAATATATACTTGAGAAAAGATGATAATGCTATATCACCGGACCAAAAATAAATAAATAAATAAATAAAAGAATAGGTTAAGCCTAGTATATTAACTAAGCCAATGAAGGCCACTGGACAACGTATCAATAAAAAATTGCTGGATACAAATAACTTAAATATTACTCACAATAATCAACCTTGTTTCCAATTTATAAATATTTTTTAATCCAACATAATTAACAAAAAAAAACAAAAAAAAAGTAGAAAAATATGTCAATAATAAAATTTGACTAGTATTATTATAACTTGGATTTGACAATTTATAATTTTGCACAAAACATTTAAAGTCATTTACACAACAGTAATATGATATAAAATGAATTAACTGGGAAAAAAATAATAATGGAAAGTCCATTACCGGAGGTGGTGCCGTTTGACCAATTATTTTTTGTGGTATTTCACACGCAAGTGTAGGCCAAAAGGGACTTAGCTCCTGGCGAACCTGCAAAATATGCAAGCCACCACCTTAGTACTAAATCAATCTGCTGCACACCAAAAAACAAAAAATGGGAATCTGCTTGACATCTAAGGCTACATACGTGAAACTTGCATGCAAGAAATGGATAGCACCCTGCCACAAACTCCCCAGAAAAAAAAGAAAGAAAAAAAAAAGATAACAACATATCAGTGACACATGTTATTACCGCTTGGATCACACGCCATGTAGACTCGAATGGATGGGTCTCAGATGATCCCATTAGAGGCTTGTCTTCAAGCAAAACTTCCAAACAAGCATGTGTTGATTTTGCAATGGAGTCGAGATTATACCCTCCTTCCAAAACCAGTACAATCCTACTATCTGCGAAATCCATCAGCTGAAATATAAAAGGGAAACGCATAAGTATTCAGAGTTTCAGTTTTGTCAAGAATATAGCATACAGGTGTTACAATAAACATGTGAAGGAAGTAAACAAGAAAGTCGGTTTTAAAAAGTAACCTTTTTCAAAAGGACAGAATAACCAAAGGGTGTGATACAACATCCACCCAAAGGGTCTCCAACGGCTGTTACACAAAAAAGTACATAGTTAAACCTAAAAAATCAATATAATTATCATATCCACTGACCCAAACTCAAGGCAACCAAAAATTAAACTCCAAAGTTATGCAACATGAACCTGCATCAAATCCAGCAGAAACTATTATTATGTCTGGATTAAATTCTTTGGCAACAGGGAGCAAGATGTGGTCCCACGCTGCAAAATAGTCTGCATCACCACATCCACCATTCTCCCATGGCACATTTATATTGTATCCAGCACCTGCTCCTTCTCCAATCATGTCATAAAATCCATCATCATTTGCTGGATAAAAACTCCCAAATTCATGCCTGTATGAATAGGAAAGCGGATATGACTATGGTTCAACTATGAAAGTGATAGAACCACAAATAAAAAATCATGTTAAATCCTTAAACTGAAAGTCATCCCAAAATTTCCAGTTTAAGAAACAATCTAGCAGTCAACAGTAACACCTTTGGCATTAACTAGCAGAGCTTTAACTTATACACAACTATGGGTGGGTGCTAAGAAATAAATACAAGATTACCAATCAATAAGATAATTAAAAAAAATGCACAAGAATAACTTACACACCTATGAACAGAGAAGAACAACACTCGAGAATCATTCCAGAACATTTTTTGTGTACCATTTCCATGATGGACGTCCCAGTCAACGATTAAAATTTTCTTTACACCAAATTCTGGCTGTCATGCACATGACAAAACCAGAAAAAATAAGGGCATTAAGTTAACTGACTGATCAAAGGCTCAAAACTCTGTAAATAAAAAATTGATGGTAGATGTTACATTACTTACAGTTTCATCTAAAAGATAAGATGCAGCAATTGCCACATTGTTGAACAGACAAAATCCCATGGCTTCATCATGCTCTGCATGATGACCTGGAGGCCTAACAATAGCAGCAGCTGAATGCAATTCCTTGCTTGCTACTCTTTTAGCAACCTGTTTGTAAAAAGACCTTCAGTTACGCTCATGAAGTTTTACTATGAACAAAATCCAGACTCATTATAATCAAATTAAGTGTGAAATTTAGTGAGGGTTGAATGTATACAGTATTGCTAACTTAAAAGAAGAGATGCATTTGCTACCATAAACACCACACCACAAGGAAACAACTTTACTGCAACACTTAAACTCGCCTTACCAAGTATTCAGAGAGGAAAGAGAGAGAGTTCACAAAAACAAAATATTTTGCTTCCTGTGTTAAATTCTAACAATCCATGAGAAGAATTAATATATATATATATATATATATATATATATATATATATATATATATATATATATATATATATATATATATATATATATATATATATATATATATATATATATATATATATATATATATATATATATATATATATATATATATATATATATATATATATATATATATATATATATATATATATATATATATATATATATATATATATATATATATATATATATATATATATATTTACTACAGAGAAAACATTACGAAGTTCATAATCACAAACCAGTTTCTATTTGTAAATTTCTGTTTGTGATCATTTTCTGATTTTTTGGAACAGATACAATTTTCCAATTAATTTTCTATGTACAATAGGAAACTGTGAATGTTATCTATGTTCATATCTTTAAATTTTGAAAGTTTCTCACTCCATAGATGGTATAAGCTATGAAGACAACATTGAATTGTCGACACCAGTAATAATTTGAAAATATGAATAAACTAAACATAATCACAAGTGTCAATGTCAGTTTCGGACACCGATACTGATAAGACACTTATTTCAAAGGTGTCAGTCCTATAGAGGGTATAAGTGCCTATAGGGAAATTAATCTACCAAACTCCTACAAGGCCATACAAACACGTACAAATAATCACTTAAAGTAAGAGACACAACATTTCTTCCAATCAATTCCTTCATGTGCATGCGAAAATGTAAATGACCTAGGATATTTAATATACAGTAATGGAAATCAACATGATCTATTTTATACAGAAAAAAGTTGAATAGAACCTCTATAGTGGAGCCAGCAGCAAGATAAGCAGATTCTGTTGAACCTTCGTTGAAATATATCGAATTAAGTTTTGCCGCAGCGTAATTCCTCGAATTAAAACTTTTAGAGCTTATCTTCTTAATCTGATCCACATGCTTTATGGAATGCACTGATAGTAAATGTTTGTCTTCAGCTTCTTTAGCATCCAAAATCACACAACTGAAAAACGATAAAATCAAAATCAAAAACAAAATTCATTCAAGAACAAGGAAGATAATAACAGAAAGAAGAACGAAAACAAGAAAGAAATTGAAATGCGATTTTACCGATCAGCAATGCCGGTGGTTTGAAGCTTGTTCCAAATAGACCTAATGCGATTCGGAGTTTCGGGATGGTAATCGTCCAAAGGATCGAAGTGCTTACACATTCGTTCGTCGTAGAGTAAACCAACTTTGCGTCGAGAGGTGTTTTTGCTTGTATTTTCATCGCTCTCAGACTTCATTTCTTCGTTCCGTTTCGTCGTCTCTCGGAGTGGTTGTGACTTTTCAGAAAGGTAGAGTTCGTTGCGGACGAGTATCTTCTTGTAGTCGATTTTTCCCTCCCTTCAGTTCTGAAATTTAAGGGGGCTTTTCGTTAGACTCTCTAGTCTTTGGGGTTTGGTTTTTTTTTGGTTTTGGCTTTCAAGTTGACGTCGTGCTAGCGCGTTATTTTCATATATTTTCTTCCTTCATTTTTTCTTTTTTTCTCAACAAATTTCTCAACATACAACTCAGATGGACTTATCTAATACATATTTAGAATTTTTCACTCTTATACCCATCTTTTAGCATATTATTTTTTAATATATCCCCCTCTCAAATTAAATATCAATCTATTTACTTTTTAAATAATTTTTTTTAGAAAGGAGGCATCATCTATGACGGAGGCACCCTTATATTTATAAGGGAGACGCCGTCCATGATAAAGACACTTTATGAGGATAAAAGTGAAATGGATTTAGTGGAGATTGTCATTTGCAGTGAAGGTCTCCAATATTAATGAGAGATAGAGCAGGTTGTGTTCTCCTTCAAAATGTGAGAGAGAGTATTGTTATATCCTTTGGGAGGTGTTTGGATTTGCATCAATCCAAAAAACCACATTTTTCTCATATTCACCTAAGACACGTGTTGCTTTTTGATTAGAAAGGAGGAAGATATTCTTGTAAGTGTGTGGCAAGTCTTCCTTTTGTGGATCCCTTTCCATTCTTCTTATTCCTTTTTCATAATTTTATTTATTTAATTCATTATTAAAACTTTTTTTATTAGTCACTAAGGAAAGTATGTGGACTCTTGATTAATTTGAATCAAAGGTCAGAATTTAATCAAAGAAGTACAAACTAATTTAAAATATTAAAGTTGCCTCTTCAAAAGCTTTAATTAATTTAAACGAGATTAAATCAATTAAAATAACCATAATTCACAACTTCTTAAATAAATATGATAAAAATAAAAGGTAAAATACCCCTTTTCGTTCCTTAACTTTAACTCGAGGTCCATTTTGGTCATTTATCTTTAAAAAGTGTCAAGTTGGTCCTTTAACTTTTAAAATGGTGTCATTTTAGTCCTCACCGTCAGTTGCCCCCAAACGTCCGTTTATTTTGTATATCTGGCAGATGATCTGACAATTGTGTTCATGATGTTGCTTCATTCTCCTTCCTCCTTCCGTTCAAATCTCTAAATTAATCTGAATCCCAAATCCCTAAATTAATCTAGGGTTTTTTTATTTGGCAAGCATGAAATCCGGATGTTTCTCCTCCATTTCGAAATCGAAAAGTCGAGATTCTGATGTTTATAGTAGGTCACGATGGAAGCCCATGTGCCATTATGGAGACATGGTTGTTCTTCAACGGGCAACTACTGTTAAGTATATGGGAAAACTTTTTTGGAGTTGTCCAAATTATAAGGTATGCAAGCTGGTTTTGTTCTCTGTTGAAGTTCTGTTTTTGTTTAAGTTATGTTTTTGTTTCTGTCTAAATTATAAGTTATATTTTTGTTTAATTTTGAATTCATTATCCATCATCCTCTAAAAATGAAACTTACAAGGAGGTATGCAAGTTGGTTGTGGCTTCTTTGGTTGGTTTTATGAGGAGATGAGTGATGAGAAGGAGCAATTTTGGATGCATAGGTTGGGTGTGGTAACTAAGGGACTTGCTGAAGCAAAAAAGGACATTGAAAAAGTGACAATGGAGAATGAAAAATTAGGGAAAAAGCTTATGAAACTTGAAAGTGAAATGAAGAATATTATGAAGTGGAAAAAGATTCTGAATTTGATGTTTGTGATGATTATCATTGTATTAGTTGTTAGGGGTAGTTAGGGTATTAAGGTTTGTTTGGAAGTAGTATGTTATAGTTTGTTTGTAAGAATTAAGTTAAGTTTTGGTTGTAAGAATTAGGTTTAAGTTCAGTTAAAGTTTGTATCAGTTTTGGATTGTATCACTTCAACATGAATGTAATAGTTGGATTCTAATATATGGATTCTATCAGTTTAGTTAATTTCACTTTTTGCAGTTCAACATGAATGTATCAGTTTTAGTTTTGGTTTGTATTAGTTCCACATGAATATAACAATTAAAGATAATGTTAACTTGGTATGCATTGATAATTATCATGTCATAGTGTTTTTAATTTGGTCTGTCAAAGCATAACCAACAGTTAAAGATTATGTTAATTTGGCTTGTCAATGATATATTTGGTATGTTATGTTTTTATGTTTACTTGGTCTGTTATAGACTTGTGAATGTTGGTATGTTAATTTGGCTTGTTAATTCTGTCTGCAATTTTACACCACATTAGACATGATTGTAGTAATATAAAGTTCGTGACAGGTCCATTTCATAATACATAAAGTTCATGACAGGTTCTGCTTTTAGGTTCATTTCATAGTACATATAAGTTGGTTATGCTTTTAACATAAAGTTCATGACAGCAGGATACATAAACAACAACAAAAGCAGGATACATAAACTTGTAATACATTCCACAAAATAGACTTGTTCCAAAACAACAGTAGAATACATAAACTTGTTCATGACAATTAGGTTATGCTTTTAACACAACTGATACACAAGTTCCACAACAACAGCAAAATACATAAACATTGTAATACATTCCACAACTAGAGTTTTATAGGTAACTGAATACACATGTTCCACAACTAGAGTTTCTTCTTTGGCGTCGTCCTCTTTGTTGGAGTAGACCTCCTTGTTACTGGGTCAACAACATTCTTGGCAGCACTCAACCTAGTTGTAGGCCCAGGTGGCACAAAAGGTCTTGTTGGCTTCCTTACAAACAGCTTTTGTGTCTTGCCCTTAGCAGGTCCATGTGTCTTCTGAGCATCCTTTCCCTTAGAAGTCTGAGATGCTTGGCTAAATTGTTGAGTAGAAGTTCTCTTAGCAGTGTGTGTTGCTTTGTTCTGAGAGGGTTGACTTGGTTGTTGAGTAGGCTGAGTTGTTGAAGTAAGAGTGTGTTGGCTAGGTTGTTGAGCAGTCTGAGTTGGAGTATGAGAGGGTTGGGTTGATTGTTGGCTAGGTTGTTGAGTAGTCTGAGTTGTTGTATCCTTACATGTAGATTTGTAATGTCCTGCTTTCTTACACCTACTACATTTCACCAGAAAACTTGTTCTTCTCAATTTGCGAGCAGACCCATCAATTTCACCTTGTTCTAGGTTCCTCCTATTTTTAGGTCTACCAGGCATCTTCCTGAACTTGGGTGGTTGCACATCTGGATATGGTGTCTTAACCCACAAGTTTGCTCCATTAACAGGGTAGATCACATGCTTATAAATTGCCTTGTACCTTGAAACCCTATAATAATCTGGAATGTAAGTATCAATTTTGAAATTCCTACTCTTCATAGCAGAATGAGCATGAACACATGGGAGCTCTGCGAGTTCCCATCTTCTGCATGAACATATCTGATCTTTCAGGTTCACAACAAACTTGTCAGTTTGATTTTCTATGTGCCTTACTTCAAATATATGTTCACCAGACATCATAAATGATTAAACAAACAAAATACATTAGTCACATGTATATCATAGACATCCTAAAGAATTAATGTATGTTGTGACATACCTTACTAGCCAGTTGTTGGTGTATGTGCTTGTGACATCAAATTTCTTTCTAATATTGGGAAAAATATAATTATCATCCAAAGTTCCAAATCCCATTATGTTATTTGCTCATCTCTCCATCATGTATGTTCTGATGTCTTTTAACATAGTGATTAGAGGTTTTGCCCTTGCTTCAAGAATGACACTATTAAAGGACTCAGACATGTTGTTGAGAACAACATCACATTTATTTTCAGTCCTAAAGTAAGATCTACTCCAAAATCTTGGTGGGGTCTTCATCATATGTTTAAATGCTTCTTCATTAATGGCCCACATTCCCTTCATCTCTCTTTCCCATGCCTGTGGGTATGTTGACTTGGCAGACTTCCATATTATGTCCTTCAATATCTTTCCAGGAAACTTTTTCCTAAAATTGTTATAGAGGTGCCTAACACAAAACCTGTGTTCCACCCTTGGCAATTGCTCATCCATAGTAGGTAGAAGACCCTGCAATAACATTCAATGTAGCATTACAATATAGCATAACAGGAATAGCATAACATAAACACATAAAACCATAAGAATAATGAAAAACTTGCCTTTTGTTGGTCTGAGATGAAGGTGTAAGTCAGACATTCATCTTTGCCTCCAAGGTCATCAATTAACAGCTCTAAAAACCAAGTCCAGCTATCCTTGTTTTCACTCTCCACAACTGCATATGCTATGGGAAGCATCTGATCATTAGGATCCCTCTCAATGGCAGCTAGTATCTGCCCTCCACACAACCCCTTGAGAAAACACCCATCTAGACCTATTACATGCCTGCACAACTTAAAGCTTTCCTTACACACAGCATAACATATGTAAAGCCTTCTAGAATATTGTATTTCATCCTCAACACCTACTTGTACAGGCTCAAGATTGAGCTTAATTGTTGACCCTGGATTGACTCTTAACAGTTCATGACAGTAGTCATAGACCCTTGTATAATCTCCCAAAAAGGAACCATCTGCATAGTCTCTAGCTGCAAATCTTGCTCTTATAGCTTTGGTTTTGTTGACCCCAACGTTCCACTTTTTTTTGTGTCTTCTCCTTGATATCCTTTATACTCAATATTGGATTGTTTTTCAAGCTATTTTGAATTCTTTTACTCAACCACTTTGTACTCATCAACTTCACATTATACTCTCTACTGCAATTGTGTTTGTCAATTACTTTCCTGAGTTGCCAAGTGTCTTCATTTGACAACTTGCTACAATAAGCCTCCTACTCACAACCAACTTTACATCTAAACCTTACCCTAACTCTGTCATTTTTTACAAACCTTAGGTCTCTACCATTTTGCACAACATAAGTTGTCATTGCTTCCCTAAAATCACCCTTTGAACTAAAGTACACTCTCACATCCCACTT